AAACGCTAAACCCTGAACCCTGAACACCGGGGATCCGCCAGGTTTTCGTTTCCTTTTTTTCAGCGGCATTGCCTTGCTGTGCCTTGGCTCGGAGCGTGCCGGGTCTCGGCCTTTTTTGGGGTTGACGGTTTAGGGTACAGGGTTTAGGGTTTAGGGTTTCGGGTGCACCCAGAGATTCCGAAAACCAGTTACTTTGAGAAACCCCCTTAACTTATAGAGGGTCTTTACTATGATTCAAGGTATATTCCTGAATCACGGGGTTTTGGAGTCTCTGGGTAGGGTTGAGGCTTTAGGGTGGGTTTTTTAGGTTTAGGGTCAGTTTACGGTGCAATGTAAGGTTTTATGGTTTAGGGCTTGCGGTGTGAGATGCGGAGCTACGTGAGTACTGGAGGTTTTTGGTTCAGGCTGCTTCTCCGTTTCGCATTACAATGAATGCAAGGGTTTAGGGTTTAGGGTGTAGGGTTTAGGGTTGACAAAGCCTAAACCCTAAAGCCTTCAACCCTGCACCAAAGTTGAACGAAGTTGAACGAAGGCGGCAACAAATCGCCCCCCCTGCCGAAAAAGGAAGCACAAACCCAGAAGCCCAAAGGCAGTCTGAGAGGTTTTTGGGTTTAGGGTTTAGGGTGATTTAGATCGGGGCCTAAATAAATAGAATCATTGGGTATGTTATGAACCCTAACGCCTAAACCCTAAACCCTACATGGTATAGTCCCCTAAACCCTAAACCCTAAACCCTACATTGTATGGTCCCCTAAAGCCCAGACCCTAAATCCTGAACCCTAAATCCTACATCGCATAATGTAGGAACCTGATTAAGAAACCCTGGCCCTGTAACCCCAAAATAGTAATATACATGTAAAGAACCTCAAATAAGGGCGCAGGGTTGCTTAATCAGGTTCCTACATTCGTCCTGATAAGGAGCCCTAAGGAAACTAACCTCTAAACCCTACATGGTGTAGTCCCCTAAACCCTAAACCCTAAACCCTAAATCCTAAACCCGAAGCCCTAAACCCTAAACCCTACGAAGGAAACTTAGGGAAGTACGCACGTCCCAGGCTCATCTTCCACTCGCAGGACACCCTCTGGGCCATGGCCAGCAACGGCCCTGGCATTGGGGTTTAGGTCGGGTTTACGGTTTAGTTTACGGTTGAGTAACCCTAAACCCTAAACCCTAAACCCGAAACCCTAAATCCTGAACCCCAAACCCTAATTGAGGGTTTAGGAGTTGTGGGTTTAGGGTT